AAACGCGCTGTTAAGACAGCAGGTAAAAGTTGGTCTGTGTTCTGTCGGAGCTGTCTGCGGCGCGCTGATGAGATCCAAAAAGATCGAAATCGCGATCCGCGTCTGGCAGTTTCGACAGAATACAGACCACTTCGAATTATTTTATTTGATTATTTCCTCAATGAACGACAATTATTCAATTAATCGATAATTTCCCATCGATAAAATCAATTGGATAATCGCCCTACCTTCATTTTCACTCATTGATTGTGATACATACGAAGAGGACGATATTGCCTCAATGTTATTGTTTCTACTTAGGTTTCAGCGATCCATACTGCATGTTGGGAATACAACCTGTGGCGGCGCCGTCGTCCCCGCAACCGCCCACACCCAGCCGATCGCTGACAGACGCTTGTGGGGCGACCGTCGACACTATCGGAAGCAATCAGGAGAAACTGCGAAAGCATCATAGCTTCAAGCTGAGCTTTAAAAGGAAAGACGGCAGGATGCGAGAACAACGTGACAGCCTGGGCGGTGCTCTCCCAGCCAAGTTCATTCGCGCCACTTCCGTTAAATCTCATACCCTCAACCCCAAATGGAACGAAAAATTTAAGTTGTAAGTCTCCCTTCACGAATTATTTAACTATAATTAGCACTTCATTCAACGATATAATTGGATAATATAGCGCTTCGTTTTATCTAAACATGTTTTAATTTACCAAGAAGATTTCACTAAACTTTAATCGGAAACGTCATCAAAGAGGGGTTGTACATTATAAAAAAAAAGGCATGCTAAAAATTTTTTGAAATAAAGAAAAACAAAAATTGGTTGACTGCACGTACATTTGTTGTAGAATTCGTAAACATTTATCTATATAATTTATACTTTTTAATGAGAAATGTTAAGAATGTATTTGTCTTGTTCTGATATTTATTTCGGATGTTCAGTTGTTGAGGTGTTTCTAAAGAGGTAGACTCTTGAGGAAGTTAATTATAACTTATTACTTTAATACTTATACAAATAAAAATCTAATTTATAAGCAGTTAAAACGTATAACGAGATTCTAAGATTAATTCAAATTAATGACGAACAGTAAGACCTTAATGAGAATTTATTTTTAGAAGCATTAATTAATTTAGGATGCCTTTTAATATAAATAACTCTTTTATTCTTCAAACTAATATTTGAAATCGGAAGATAATGTAGAAGCCGCTAAAAATGTTATTATTAGAACAGCAAATTCAACTTTCTTTCTCCAACGCGTTGCTGCGAATTACAAGTCTTTTTTATTTAAGTCTGTTACTGCGTAATTTATGGTTATTAGTATAATTAACCGCCAATACTAATCACCAAAACTTTGTGAATTAACTGTCTAAATTTATATTCTCACAAAAGAATTTCCTTAACGAAGAGAAAATATCAACGGATTATTCCCATGGTTTTAATCCTATCAGTGAAATTCCAAGAGAAATGTTTCTTCCTTGTGCAAAAGTTATTTACTACAACTACACTAAAAATAAGTAGAAATTTGTAAATTTGAATCGGCTCTCGCGTGGACCAAGAGTACAACCAACCGACCAACCGTCGGTGAAAGAATTTTTGCTCTATCTTTAATAGTTCGCCAGATATGTTCTCCTAAACATTTAATTCTCCATTTTAAAAATAACACTTGGCCAAAACTTCCGACAGCCGTAACTCTGTAAGGGAATATCGTAAGGGGGCACTTTCGATCTCGACGTAATGCACAGTGTCTCCAAAAAAATTTGATAACACTCCCATAGAAATTGGACTATTTAATCGGAAAATATGAGCCATACCGTGGACTCAGAAAAACGCTAAAACGAAAAAGTAAGGTAAATTACCTGAATTCGGTTGGCGTTAGCGCAGGGCGGGAATGTCACAGGTCAATGCGGTTATTATTAAAAACTTTCTCCATACATTGGGCTTCAAACCACCTATGTTTCGAACGCCTCGGACGTCGAGGTGAGGAGCTACGAATTCTTAACCGCGGCCATGTTACTGAGCGCAAAATTTTAAAATTTGACCTTTTGTAGCCTGTAGCTCGAAAACAGTAGGACTTATCGGAAAAATTCTTTCACAGACGGATGCCCTGGCTCAGTGCGAACATTATAGGACATATGCGGCCGAAATCTGTGCCGATCAGTAATTCAAAATTTTCAAAATTTTTAATATTTTATTTTCTTTNTTTATAATCATGGTCTAGTTTATTCATTGGTTCGTTAGTATGAAAGATTGTAGATGACAAATTTCAAAATTTTTAAAAATTTTTGTATTTTTTTTTCTTTGAAATTAAATTTTTCCTGTACACTTAGGTACGGACCAACCGTTGGTGAAAGAATTTTTGCGCTATCTTTAATAGTTTGCAAGATATGTTCTCTTAAACATTTAATTCTCGATTTCGAAAATAACACTTGGCCAAAAGTTTCGACAGCTGTAACTCTGTAAGGGAATATCGTAAGGGGACACTTTCGATCTCGACGTGATGCACAGTGTCTCCAAAATATTTTGATAACACTCCCATAGAAATTCAAAATTTTCAAAATTCATTTTATTATTTTTTATGGTTGGGAGTGAAACTTTGTCATAATGTAGTTGAGAGTTTTTATACCCTGTTGGAAGAAACTTAGATACATCTGAAAGCTTTAGTATTCGAAAGTTTTATTTAAACTTTCCACTCTTAAAACTCATTTTCTAATTCCAGTGACATAGACGACATAAACAGCGATTCGCTTCACTTGGACATTTGGGATCACGACGATGAAAGTTCTGTATTAGAAGCAGTCAGCAAGCTCAATGAAGTTAGAGGAGTTCGAGGACTTGGGCGATTTTTCAAACAAGTTTGCCAATCGGCGAGACAAAGTTCGCAAGACGATTTCCTAGGATGTGTCACTATCCCTTTGTCAGACATTCCATCTACAGGACTCGAAGGATGGTTCAAGTTGGAAGCGAGGTACGACTATCATACTTAAATCTTTCAAATTTTTAGAGATCGTTTTAAACCACAAAAAGTTAATGCCAATTATTACATAGGTATTAATGTAAAACTAGATTTTATTTGTCAACTGTGCACCGTCGCAAAATACTAGGATGCAAGAAAAGAAAAAGTAGGAAAAGAGCAAATGTAAAGGTTAGAAGAAGCGGATTTGAGGTTCTAGGAACTCAGATAAGTCAGCACGGCAGGAGTAATAGGAATATAAAGCAGAGGATAGCGCAGGGTTGAATCGCCTTCGATAAAAAGAAGTGCTTCTATGCTCGCGAACGAATAATTTAGAAATTCCAAAAAGATTGTTAAGGTGTATGTTTGGAGCGCGGCGCTGTACGGGTGCGGAACATGATTAGGATACCGTGGATAGAGAAGGTTAGAAATGAAGAGGTATTAGAAAGAATAGGAGAACAGCGCACTCTATGGAAGTCAATAAGAAATAGGCGAGATAGATTGGTAGGACACCTTCTTAGAGGCAAGAACAGGAGTTAGGTGGAATAGAGGTAGAACCTAGATTACTGTTTTAGTTTTAGGGAAATGCGTAGATTATCTCAGGATAGGAAGGAGTGGAGGTGCGTGTCCAACTAGTCTGACGACCTTATGATGATGATGAACTTTGCACCATTATATGGTATAAGAATTCCAATTCGATCTACTGACATTGTCAAGTTATTGATTAAGCATTTGGCGAAACATTCAATTTGCTCTTATTCGATGTTCTTGAATTAAATTACGAACTATGGAATTCTACAAGAAATGTATGACTGGAATACGGAGCCATTTCAAGACTCCTCGAATTAGGTGCTCAGTGCAAAGTATCACCTTATGAGGTCCACCACTCCAAATTTGAATGTTCGATAAAATGGAGTCAAAATTATGGAGTTGCGCAGTTTGTTTAATACACATGTCACCTTACAATACCCTGTCGAGTTTTTATGTCATGCAAATTAAAATTGACTGGAATCACTGTAAAGAGCGAAATTTTGAGCATCCAAATTTGGAAACTGGTAAATTAGGTACCGAAATCATGAACTGTTTCCTTTGATTGCGTAAAACACATGAACATGAACCTATCATACAAGTTAAAGTCGGCTTAAATCATTGTAAAGAGCGAAATTTGTTACATCTCTGTGCTTTTGAAAGGATTCCATTTATCTTTTAAGGTATACGAACAGAAATAAATGAATTTGAAATTCCTGTTTAATTTTCTAGCTTTCCGAACGCACCTTCTAGACATTGTATTAGTTATTAATGTGAAAATTCATTTTAATTTTCTCCCACTATAAAATACTTCAAATTAATGAAGGAAAAACTTGTTGCTGTTATCGCGCCCTTGCCGGGAATCGAACCCGGGACCTTTGGCTTTACGCAACAATGCTGTCACCACTAAGCTACAAGAGGTGACAACAGCAACAACGACAAACTGTACTTTTAGGTCACAGATCTGTCGAACTAATGTAACTATGTTAATACTACAAATATGAAACACTTCGACATTTAATAGGGTTTAATATTAAATATTGAGGTAGTTTATAGTGGGAGAAAATTAAAATGAAATTTCACATTAATATTCGATATCAAACTCTATTAAATGTGTTAAATGTTTCGTATTTATAGTATTCTATTAGTATCATTTTATCAACTACCCCATCACCTGGTGTACATAAGTGCCGTAATTTATTATTTTCAGGACATTCATTTACCAAAAAACCACATTGTAGGTATTACCTATTCTGAAATTTTAAGCTCCAACTTTACCTTATGATGAATTTCTTACTTTTCCTCATTAACGTTACCCGTAAGTAGGAAAATTAAAATGGGAAGATTCCGGCTTACTGCGGCTTTGCTCCGACGAAATTTACAACCACAGGTTTATCATTTAACCCCTGCGACTATTCTTATTACAAACTTGATTAACAACCCTTTTATTCAACCATTAAGGAAAATTATTTGCATTAGAGTGTTGTAATTAAAAATAGTAATGCATCGGTATCATTTATGGAGAGTAAAAATGCATAGCACGATGTATTTCTATAGAAATAATGTAATTTTATTGGAAACTATATCACGTTAATAGAAAGTACAATACAATGTTACCGTTTTACCCCCCTTAGAGGGAAGCTTAGGGGCGCTGTATGAATTTAATGATAAGATAAAACTAGGGAGAAACAAAATTTGTTCAATATAAAAAATATTTTGTTATAGCGGTAGTGGGGGTGGCGGGATACTGGATTACGGGATAGCCTGTCCATAAACATCTTACCAATTTTTGACCTTCAAAGTATTTTTCTTGCGCCATTCTTTAGCTGAACAGTTTACACTCGCCCTTTTGTCGACAATACCAGAAGCTCTTGTTGAAGACTCTCTGGAATTGTCATAAAATGGGATAAATAGGAGCAAGAGCGGGAAATTATTCTAGCATCTCGTTTGACAAAACTCAGTAGGCAATAACTTAACTGGGGAAATTCAAATTTCATTTTACAACAATTCGAGAGGAACTTCCACAAGACCTTCTGGTACTGTTGATAAAAACAGCGTGGTCTAACTTCTTCCGATGATAAATGTGCTATAAAGACGTTCTTAAGATCAAACATTGGTAAGATGTTGGACAGGACATACCTATGATCCAGTTTCCCACTACCTCCACTACTTGTAGCGTATTCAATAGCCCATTAATTGAATTTTTTGGTTCTTTATTACCTGTAGAAGCGGAGATACAAACGCGAATATGTAAATTAAAAAATTACTTTTTTTATATAAATCGTTAAATAAACTGATGAAACCGGTATCCAATCGATGCAAAACCATATTTTCCGACTTCCGGAGGAGAAAATATATTTTCTCCAGATTTTTACAACTTTAGAAAGTTTTGTTGCTTTTATGCTAATAAATTTTTATTTACATGTGTATTTACTTTTCATTTTATATTAGAAGAAGGTGTAAAAATAATATATCAGTTCTTTGTCTTGTATCTTAATTAAAATTATTTCATTCATTGTTTTGCTTCTCTTCTCAAATTTTCGACCCGGGCCTCACTTCACTTAAATCCAGCACTGGAATTTCTAACAGTGGTACCCACATAATAAGGTCGCCACGTGTGGTGGTTTACTATTTTCTGTAGAATCATTAATGTTTAATAAGGTTCGTTTTGATTAAGGGTGTCCACTCGTTAAACTAAACCCTGACTAAAATCATATTTATTCAAAGGAATTTGTTGGGGAGGAGTTCAGAAATTATTAGACCGAACTTAATTTCAAAATTTTTGGGTTAACCATATTATTTGTGTTAAATTCTTCACAGTTTCATTAAAATCGATTCCACTTCATGGAATTTACTTTAAACTCATTATTATTTCCAATTTTATATTTAAAAGTGTAAAACTAGCATACAGGGAATTTTATTTATAACACACCCCGGTAGTACTGACTTCTTAGCTATAGCGACGTAAGTAAATTTATTTGGCTATAGTGGCCTCGGATATAGCGACTGGTTTTAATGAGTCATTGTAACAAATTCCTAGAAGTAAACCTTTCTTATCTTCTGTTTACATAAGCAGATTGCTTTGTATACCTGTAGAGGGCATATATTATCTTCTCACATTGCCACTGCAACGGTCGATTTCGTTTCGATTTAAAAACATGTGAATACATTCACTGTTTGAATTACACAGTCGCTTATTACGATTTCTAGATATATCACACGAAATTGTATTGGTCCCTTCATCGTCATTATAACTGAAGCCCACTGAAGCTTCAAAACACAAACTATTAAGTCAATTTCAAGGAATTCGCGTGCACGTTATTCAATTTCTCCATTTCTACCTTGTTCCAGATCACAAAGAAGTTCAGTCCAGGGCCGGATACGTTTGAAAATGTGGTTATCGACTAGGGAAAATCGGGGAATGTCTGAGGAGGACAACTGGACTGAAGTGAGACAACATGAAAATTTGTACGTGATGTTTATTGATTACGAACTGAGTAATTGGAACGGAGAGACTTGGACGTGGTCAGGTGATCTTTCGGGTCCTGCTTTGACAATTCTTCATCAACATTCTGTACAAGGTAAGACGAATGATCATTTTTACAAATAACATTTAAGTCTTGTTTGACAATTTATGGTGGATTCGAACGTATTTAATTAAGCAAACCTTACTTATGCAATTAAATTAATTGTAAAAAACGTATACGCCTACGTAATTCTAAAATGTAGCATCGTACTACAGATGGCGTTTACCGCGCCATTTGTGGTATTTTCTAAAACGCACTGTTAAGACAGCAGGTAAAAGTTGGTCTGTGTTCTGTCGGAGCTGCCTGCGACGCGCTGATGAGATCCAAAAAGATCGAAATCGCGATCCGCGTCTGGCAGTT